TTTGTGTTGTTGTTGCATTCTGGCTTTAAAGCATGGTGGTCTGATAAGATACATGGAGTTATTCCAATTTTTTTGTGCCTGTTGAGGTTTGATATGTTGCCAAGTATGTGGTCAGTTTTTGAGAAGGTTCCATGTGGTGCTGAGAAGAAGATATATTCTTTTGTGTTTGGATGGAATGTTCTGTAGATGTCTGTCAAACCCAATGTGTCATAACTTCTATTAGTTCCTTTGTTTCTTTGTTAAGTTTCTGTCTGGTAGTCCTGACTAATGGTGACAGTAGGGTGTTGAAGTCTCCCACCATAAGTGTGTCAGGTTTTATGTGTGGTTTGAGTTTTAGTAATGTTTCTTTTACAAATGTGGGTGCCTTTGTGTTTGGGGCATAGATGTACAGAATTGAGACTTCATCTTGGTGGATTTCTCCTGTGATGAACATGAAATGACCTCCTTCATCTCTTTTTGTTGATTTCAGTTTAAAGTCTAGTTTGTTAGATATTAGAATTGCTACCCTTGCTTGTTTCTTGGGTTCATGTGATTAGAAAATCTTTTCTCAACCCTTAACTCTGAGGTAACATCTGTATTTAAAGCTGAGGTGTGTTTCTTGTATGCAGCAGAAGGATGGATTCTTCGAATCCATTCTGTTAGCCTCTGTCTTTTTATGGGCGAGTTAAGACTATTAATATTGAGGCATATTAGTGACCATTGATTGCTTATTCTTGTTTGTTTTGGAATGATTGTTGATGGTAGAATTGTATGTGGATTTCCACCCCTTTTTTCTTTGGCTGTTGGTAAAGTGGGATTATCTATCGCCTATATTTTTCTGGTTGTAGTTAAGTTCCTTGGGTTGGAGTTTTCCTTCCAGAACTTTTTATAGGGCTGTGTTAGTGATTATGTATTGTTTAAATCTGTTTTTTATGGAATATATTATTTTCTCCATCTATAGTGACTGAAAGGTTTGATTAGTATAGTAGTCTGGGCTGGCATCCATGGTCTCTTTGTGTTGGTAGAATATCTATCCAGTCCCTTCTGGCTTTCAGATTTTCCATGGAGAGTTCAGGTATAATTCTGATAGGTTTGCCTTAATGTGTTACTTGACCTTTTTCCTTAGCTGCTCTTAATATTCTTTCTTTATTCTGTGTGTTTGGTGTCTTGATTATTATGTGGCAAGGGAATTTTTTTTTGTGGTCTTCTCTATGTGGTGTTGTGTAAGCTTCTTGTAACTTCATTGGCATGTCTTTCTTTAGAGTGGGATATTTTTCTTGTATAATTTTTGAATATTTTCTGCCATTTTGAGGCCGTTTTCTTTCTTTCTTTCTTTCTTTTGTAAGTAAAAGCATTGTTTACTTTTTTCCTTTTTTAATTTAAATTAGAAACATGCATGCTCCAATGTCAATCCCAGCTCCCCCTTCTCCGTCCCAGCCCCACGTCCACCTCCCCATTCCCAGCCCAATCCCCACATCTTTCCCCAGGGAGGGTGAGGCCCTCCTTGGGGGGATCCCCAGAGTCTGTCATTTCATCCAGGGCTGGACCTAGGCCCTTCCTCATGTGTCCAGGCTGAGAGAGCATCTCTCCATGTGGAATGGCCTCCTAAAGTTCATTTGTATGCCATGGTGAACACTAATCTACTACCCAAGGCCCCAGAGATTTCCGAGGCCTCCTCTCTGACACTACATTTATGGAGTTTGGATTAGTCTCCTTTTTGGCCTCTTGGCCATCAGTTTGGGGTTCAAGAGCGCCCCCTTGTCCAGTCAGCTGTCTTTGTAGGTTTCACCAGCGCAGTCTTGACCAATTTGCTCATCACTCCTCCATCTCTGTCACTGGGTTCCAGGGGGTCAGTTCAGTGTTTAGCTGTGAGTATCTGTCTCTGCTTCCATCAGTCACTGGATGAAGGTTCCTTATATGATGACTTCATATAAGGAAGTCATCAATGTTATCATTAGGTAGGGGCTATTAATGTAGTCTCTCTGCTATTACTTAGTTTTCCAGTTGGTGTTTTCCTTGTAGATCTCTGGAAATCTCACTGGTGTCAGCTCTCTCCTCAAAGCTATAATGACTCCAACTATTGTGGTATATCTCATCCTGTTCTCTATTCTTACCCCAACTCAACCTTCCTGTTCCCCCTTGTCTCTCTCTCTTTTTCCTGGTTCCCTCTCCCCCCAATACTTTTATCAAATGCAGCTTTAACTGAATATCTCTTGTTCTGTCTGTAAATAAGACTTGAGATTTGAAGGCTGGGGTTAAAACCTATCTCAGAGAGGTCAAGTAGCAGCTACCTAAGCCCCTGTCCTTACTGGCACCTCTAAAAGTGCATTCTTCATCTTTCTCAAGGAAAAGAATCCATGTTATGCTCAGCCCTTCCCTATTACTTCCTGTCAATAAGTTGCTGACTCAGTCTTCTGATCCAGATTAATTTTATTTAGCCAATATAAATGCAAACTCGGGTTCACAGAATGATCACAGTGTACTCATTTGGAGAGTTTTACTGGGGGGAAGGAGAGAAGGGAGAGAGAAAGGGAGCACAGAGGGGCCTTGTAGGAAGAAGAAAGAGAGAAGTGCAGAGAGAGGCAGAGGACCTGAGGAAAGGAGGGATGAGGAGGGAGGTAGGTAAGTAGGGAGACAGAGAGAGAGAGAGAGAGAGAGAGAGAGAGAGAGAGAGAGAGAGAGAGAGAGAGAGAGAGAGAAGGCAGGTTCTGACTTTTTAAGAGGGTGTAGCTGTAGCAACATAGTTGACGATGTTGTCAGGACCCTGACAACTGCCTGAGTACTGGCAAGTGGCAGGGAAGACGTACTCTGCCAAGTCTCCAAGGGGTGGGTCAGTGTGCCTGACTGCTTACAATATCCACTTATAAATAAGTACATACCAAGTATGTATATCAGCTTCCTGATTGCCTCACCCAGGATGGTGACACTCAAGACACCAGACATCAATAAACTGAACAATCAAATTAAAAATGGGGTACAAATCTAAACAGAATATTCACAATGGAGGAATTTCAAATGACCGAGAAACACTTAAAGATATGTTCAACATCCTTAACTATCAGGGAAGTGAAAATCAAAACTACTTTGCAATTTCATCTTATACCTATCAGAATGGATAAGATCAGTAACACCAGTGAAACTCATGCTGCCCAGGTGGTTGAACAAGGGAAACACTCTATTTCTGGTGAGAATACAAACTTGTACAGCCACTGTAAAAATCAATATGGGATTCCTCAGAAAAATAACCATTGATCTAGGTCCAGACACAGTTATACCTCTCAGGCATATACCTAAAACCTGCTCCACCCTACCACAAGGAAACCTGATCAACTATGTTCACAGAGGTTTTATTCACAATAGCTAGAAACTGGAAACAACCTTGGTTCCTTCGCTGGAAGAATTGATTTAAAATAGGGTATATTTACACAACGAAGTATTACTCAGCTTTTAAAAAATGATATCATGAAATATACAGGCAATGGATAGAACTAGACAAAACTCATCCTGAGATGGACAACTCTGATACAGAAAGACTAACATGATATATACTCACTAATAAGTGGATGTTAGCTGTTTAGTAAAGGATAATCATACTACAATCCACAGATTCAGAGAAGCTAACAAAAAGGGCTCTGGGGAGATGGATGGAGTAAATTCATTTTCATCATGGAATAGGCTTATAATAATCTGGAACAGAATGTGATGGATTAAGTATAACCCTCCTATATAGATAATATGTCTGAACACTTAGCTCTAACTGATTGCTCTCTTTGAGGTGCTTATGGAATCTTCAGTAGAAGGGCACTTTCTAGAGGACGTTTCTTGTTGGGAAGTTGGTTTGATTGTGTATCGACTCACCTGTTTCCTGGTTTTGTGTCTACTTGGTGAAGTTGCTCAGCCAGCTTTCTTCTCATGCTGTCATGGATTCACCACCACTTGAAACTCTATCCCTGAATAACAACGGAAGCAAGTGTTTTTTCTCGAAAAGCCATTTGGTCACCTTTTCAAAAATTTTCTTTATTTTGTCATTTTGTTTTCGAAGAAATGGTGTTTTGGCCTAGTGCTGGCTGTCCTGAAAATTGTTCTTGGGACCAGACTGGCCTTAGGCTCAGAGATCTGCCTAACTCTGCCTTCAGGTTTTGATATTACAATTTTGGGTGAATATTCCGAGGTTTTTTATTTTTATACTATTGACTGATGGACCTGTAAAGGTTTTTGTATATGCCAAGCTTGTGCTGTTGTGCTGTGTATCTCGACTTTTAAATTTTGGCATAATGTATCTTTTTTCCTCCTTGGATGACATACATTTATGACATGAATAATGTCTGAAGGTCATGTGTCATTAGGTTGCATGTGTGTGACATTCTCCCTTACTTTTATCATGTTTTGAAGTCATTTCTCCAGCCCTGTTTTTTTTAATGATCTATATTAAAGATGTTCACATTTTTCTCTGTGTATCTCTAACATGTTAAATATGTGGTCCTTTTTAATAAGATCTAATCTTACACTGTAAACTGTGACACTTCAGGTTCCTGGGAGATGAATACAGAACTGGAATGAATGTTTATCATTTTGTAGGAACTTCAGTGAGATACTCCTTTTGATTTCTTTGGTTGGTTAGTGTTTTTTTTGGGGGGGGTGAAGGTGGAGAGGTCCAAATATGAATCTCTGGATAATCTGACCTCATTTCATAGATCAGGTTGGCCTCAAACTGAATGAGATTCACCTGTGTCTGACTCCTGACTGCTAGGATTAAAGCCATGAGACAATAGTCCCAGATTTCTCACCTTTTTTGCAGTTGGTAATTGTTCATACAATTTCTCTGACACATATTTAATACTGTTGATTTGTTTGTTTATCTCTCTATGTCTGTTAATAGTCATTTCTCTTGGGAGGATAAATCCTATTCAAAGGGCCAAGAAATGGCACGTACAAACCTCCTTTTCAATCTCCTTTTAATGTACATTTCCATTCTGATCAGTATCACTCTTTCTGTTGTACACATGTATGGGGTAATCTAGAGTTCAGTGACCTGTGAGGATGTGCATGTCAACTTCACTCAGGATGAGTGGGCTTTGCTGGATCCTTCCCAGAAGAGTCTCTACAAAGACGTGATGCGGGAGACCTACAGAAACCTCATTGCTATAGGTAAGGTTGTGAATTTCCCTTTAACTTATAGAATAAGGGGACAACTATTTCTTTACTTTTGATGCTTTCCTATAATTTGGATTGATAAAGGGAAGAATGTGGTGAACAAGTCAGACATAGTTTTTAAGTTCATTGGATATGGTAGCTTTAATTTTGCATTATTTCCAATAATACATATTTCCTTGTACTATATTTCAGGCTACAAATGGGAAGATCACAATTTTAAAGTACATTGCCAAAGATCTAGAAGGCATGGAAGGTAATTTTCATGTGCAAGGTAATACAAATTTCCCACGGAAGATTTTTTGTTTTGATTTTTGAAACAGGATTTCTCTGTACAACACTTGTTGCAGTTCTGGAACTTGCTTTGTAGATCAGGCTCGCCTTGAACTCCAGAAAATAGAAGCTTCAAGGAAAATTAACAGTGTAAATAAACACAGTTTTAAGTGTATTGATGATTAGTAAATTCTCACAACATCATATACTTCAATGTCAGGTAGCTGATCTGTGTTTGCAAGGTATTCCTCAAATAAAGATGACGATGAAACAATGTCTTAACAGATATCACCATTTTAATCATGGCTTCATGAGAGCTAGCCAGTGGAATTGTCAATCTTTTTCGTTTCATACCACTCAGGTATAGCAAAAGGAATACCTGTTAATTAGTGGATAAGCATTGTCCAAAATCATCTAATAAGCAAATACTCCAGTAGTAACAAGCTAGTGTTACTAATGGACTTGTGGTGAGTAATAAAAGTTTAGTGATAGGGTCAGTTTATGATAATTAAGAACTTTATTGTGGAGAAACCTCAATACCTGCACCATATCTCTATGAGGAACAAAAGAATGTAATGTGTGAATGCAACATGGAAACCTTTAATTTGTTATTCTTTCTTTGATGGTATTATCATATGTCACTCTGAAAACTGGTCATGTGTACATAAATGACCAGATGTAATGTACCTCCTCTTAACCAAAATGATTGGAAGATATTTATTTGTCTCCCTTTGAATACTTTCTGATTCTGATGTAAGTTTAGAATTATTTTTCAAACCACATTGGAAATACATCAACAAAGTCACTCCACAGAGAAGCCCTTTAAGTACAAAACAATGTATAAATTCTTCTGTTTTTCCTGATTCACTTTGCAAATGTAGTGACTCACAGTATAGGAAAATGTTATGAACGTAATCTGTGTGATAAACCCCTGAGTTCTTCTAGTTCTCTTCAGTTATATTAAAACATCTCATGAAAATGGATGCCTATATTTTTGGTTGTGAGCCTAGCATTTAACGGCTGAGCCATCTCTCCAGCCCATAAAGTGGATGCTATCAAAGTGATCCATGGACTAAAGGCTCTAACAATCACAGGTATTCTCAAACACACCAAAGAGCCAATAATGATGAGGAACCTATGAATGGAAACAACATGGTAAAACCTTAATATCTGACTCTTATTTGCCATTAGAACAAACTGTAAAACTAAGTCATACAGATAAAAGCATTCATCAGGCAAATGGATTTCTTATAGCATTTACATGTGCCAATTATCTTCACAGGCATGAAGGAAGTCATACTGGAGAAAAAGCCTATGAATGTAATCAATGTGGTAAAGCCTTTGCAAATCACAGTAGTCTCCAAATACATAGAAGAACTCATACTGGAGAAAAACCCTACAAATGTAATCAATGTGGGAAAGCCTTTTCGCACAATAGTAGTCTTAAAATACATAAAAGAATCCATATTGGCGAGAAACCCTATGAATGTAATCACTGTGGAAAACCTTTTTCACACCACAGTAGTCTCCAACTACATAAAAGAACTCATACTGGAGAGAAACCCTATGAATGTAGTCAGTGTGGGAAAGCCTTTGCACGTTACAGTCATGTTCAAATACATAAAAGAATTCATACTGGGGAGAAGCCTTATGATTGTGATCAATGCAGTAAAGCCTTTGCATGTCAAAGTAATCTCCAAATACATAAGAGAGCCCATACTGGAGAGAAACCCTATGAATGTACACACTGTGGCAAAGCCTTTTCACAATACAGTCATCTTCAGGTTCATAAAACAACTCATTCTGGAGTGAAGCCTCATGTTTGTAATCAATGTGGGAAAGCTTTTGCACGTCATGCTAATCTTCAAAGGCATAAAATAACTCATACTGAAGTACAATGCTATGAATGCAATCGATGTAAGAAAGCCTTTTCCCAAATGACTCTTCTCCAAGTTCATAAAACAACTTATCCAGGAGAGAAACCCTATGAATGTAATCATTGTGGTAAAGCCTTTACATGCCATAGTTATCTTTAAAGGCATGCAAAATTCATATTGGAGAATAAATCTATGATTTTTATCACTGTTATAAAGACTTTGCATATCAACCTGGCCTTTGAATCCATGAAAGCATTCATCCAAGAGTAAAACCTATAGTGTGTAGTAAGTTTGTTAAAGCCTTATGTCATAGTAGTCATTGAGGACATGAAAGAAGTGAGACTGTAGAGGAATATATGAATATAAAGGATTTTGTATGATCTTTAGTCAACAAACTTTTATGTTTAATTACGCAAGGTTGTTGTGAAGAAAATCCTGACACTTTCAATAATCTATTCAAGCATTGTAATGTCCCTCTGTATTTTGTTTGCAACTACAACCTTATGGATAAAGGCCCCATGTAAGGCAAACCTTTTAGTTATTATACTTCTCTTCAATTACATGAAGTAAATCATTCAGAGTAAAACATTATGGATGTGTACTGGTGTTTTTTCTCTTCCCACAATAAAACACAGTGTCTAAGGCAACTTTTAAAAGAGCTTAGTTTGACTCATGGTTCCAGAGTGAAACAGGCATCAAGTGATAGACATGACAGCTAAATCAGGAAGCTCAAAGATGACATCCTCAACCCAAAGCATGGAACAGAGAATGGGAACTGATATGGTGTCAGGATTTAAAGTCTCAAAACCCACCATGATTTCCTCTACAGGGTGGCTTTTCTCAACTTTTCCAAGTGATACCAGCAACTGAGAAGTATTGATTCTATGACTTTAGAGCTCACATGCTTATTTTCTGTTATATGAAACAATTCACAAAATAGAAAAATTCTGTAGGTAAGCCTTTCGATGCCTCAACCTCTGGATTATAAAAATGAATGCTTACTCAATAAAAATAGCCTTGAGTGAAAATGTTTGTTTAATGATTCAGTTTGATTTTTATTTGGTTATATCAGTGTGTTTTTGGATATATGTACATGCTTGATGGTCTTCAAGAAGGATGAACCCTGTAGTCATCCTGGATTTCTATCAGGAATTATAGGAAATTGTCAAAAATCTCTCCTGGATTCTGGGTATGAACTTATCTTAATTGCTTGGCACTGTCTTGAGCCCTATAAATATTTTAAAAACCTTTATATATCAGCTTGATATTAGGATATAGGCAAGAATTAACACATGGGAAAAATGCTGTTCATGCAAACAATATGGTGAACAGTTTATACATCCAGACCAGGTTCAAGGCTACTGGCTGAGATGGTCCAGTCTCACAGACTACTCTAGCCAAAGTGGTTGGTTGCAAATTATCATTGGTCATGGTAATGAAAGAAACTAAACAAGGGAGGATCTCTTTGTGAAAAGAAAGGTAGCATATAGGGCCGGCTGGGTGATGGTGGTGCATGCCTGTAATCCCAGCACTTGAGGTAGAGGCATTGGCACAGAGGCTCAGAGGTGCAGAGGCAGGTGAATCTTTGTGAGTTCAAGGCCAGGCTGGTCTACAGAGCTAGTTTCAGGACAGCTAATGCAGGTACACAGAGAAAACCTGTCTTTAAACCAAAGAAGAAGAAAAAGAGGAGGACGAGGAGGAGGAAGAGGAAGAGGAGGAGGAGGAGGAAGAAGAAGAAGAAGAAAAAGAAGAAGAGGGGGCATAGGAGTTATAGGATAAAAAGGTAGATTATTGAGTTTACATTTAGCTAAAAGTAACTATTAACATCAAATATTTTAAGCTGGTATGGATTTTTGTATATTGATACAAATCTGAAGTTATTTTGGTTATACTGTATACGTTTTTACTCTTGAGGTATTGTACCTATGCACCTCATTTACCAATGTAATGTAAATTTCTAGTCCTTAAAAGCTCTTTAGGATAATAAAGGAATAAAGTTTAGGAGTTAGTCATCTATAACAATCAAACTTATAGTCATGTTTCATATATTTTCAAGGTCAAACAGGTGTATTTTAAATAAATAGATGATCTTCAAACACTAAAAGAATATGACATTTGAAATGTTTTAATAACAAGGTTTTTTTTATATCAGTGAGACACATCTACTTCTGACAACACATTTTACTTAAAAGAAAGAGGCTAAGCATCAAAGAGCCTCCATATGGAACTTGCTTTCTTTGTGGCAAAAGTTAGTCACTGGGCAAAGAAACTGACCTTTGCTTGACTGCTCACAGTATGCTTATGAAATTGAACAAACAGAACACCAAAGATTACAACTGCTGGAGTTTGCCAAGACAAGGTGGGGCAGTCCTGTAAAATTCCTGGTTCACAGAAAAGTCTGTCAGAAATTCTAGGCCTGTTGACTGAATGTGGATGCCCAAACATTGCAGAGGAAACTTGGGCAACTATCCAGGCAGCTAGGTGTTTTTGTCATTTCTTATCATTTTGGAAGTTGCTTCCTTTGTACTTTCTGCTTATTCAGGTAATACATACATACATACATACATACATATTTGGTTTTACGAGACAGGGTTTATCTGTATTGTTTTGGATGCTGTTGGTCCAGCCCGGCCTCGAACTCACAGAGATCCGCCTGCCTCTGCCTCCCGAGTGCTGGGATTAAAGGCGTGCACCATTACCGCACAGCTCAGGTAATATTATATCCTTCTCAGGTCTTTGGAAGGGTTGAAGACTAATAATTTTAGTCAGTTTTCCTTTGTTATGATAGAAAATGAATTATGTATAAAACTTTGTTCTCAACTAAGATAGGATAGATAATAGAGTATTTCCTCCAAAATTACCAAAAATAAATTGAGTAAACATTGCAAATGTAACTGTTTTTATTCCATATAATTTTACTGTATTAGCATTAAAGCCTTTGCTTAGATTCTTAGTTGGGGTCATCCTTGTGGATTCCTGGGAATTTCCCTAGTTCTAGTTTTCTTGTTAACCCCATAATGGCTCCCTCTATGAATATATCTGTATATGTGTCCTTGTTCTCCTCTGTCCTTCCCCCAACTCAACCTTTCTGATCCCTCATGTTCTTCCACCTCCACTTATTCCCTCCTCTCTCTCCTGCCTCCTTCCTCCCATGCTCTGAATTTACTCAGGAGATCTTGTGCCTTTCCCCTTCTTGGGGGCTACATGTATGACTCTCTTAGGGTCCTTCTTAGCTAGCTTCTTTACGGTTGTGGATGTAGGTTGGTTATCTTTTCTCTATATCTAATATCCACTTATTTGTGATACATGTGATGTCTGTAATGTGTAGTCTTCCCTGCTTGATGCCTGGGCTCTGCCAAGCTATCTGAACCCCCAAATAACACACAGGACACTTTATTATTAAGTTGTTGGCTGTTTGCTTTGTTTCTTACTAGCTAGCTTTCATTCCATTGTTAACCCATAATTGCAAATAGTATTTCCATGTGGTCTTCGCTTACCAGAGAACAGGGTCTGGACCTCTTATTCCTCTGGCTTTCTACTTTGTGACTGTCTGTGCCTCCCTTTCCCAGAATCCTCCTCACCTCCTAGTCCAACCTATCTTGCTTTACTATTGTCCAACAGTGCTTTATTCAACAACCAATAAGACAGATTTACAGAATGACATCTCCCATCATCTCCTCTTTTTTGTCTTAATAAAAAGAACAGTTTTAACTTTAACATAGTCAAATTATATGTAACAGAACAGTTATCAAGTAAGAACTATAATTACAATATTTTGTCCATTCACATTTAGTAAGATTTAAAGAAATATTATCTATCCTATCTTTGTGAGTCTAAAGTCATATGTGTAGCTTATCTTTTATCATAACTAAGGAAAACTATAATTATAGCTATCTGTCTGCAACGCCATCAAAGACCACAGAAGGATAATATGTAAACACTAGAATTGACAGAGATATCTCACTACCTGGACAGTCACCCGAAGTTCCTCTGTAACGTTGGGGCATCCATCTTCAGCCCATAGGCCACAGTGTGTCTGTCAGACTTCTCAGCAAAGCAGGAAATTTTAAAGTGTCTATCTGCATTGACAGTCTGTCAGTCATTTTTCTGTGTCCTGCAGAAAGTCCGGCAGACTCATGAAGCAGGAAACCTTTAGGACTGTTGAAGTTCAGTAGTCACTTTTCTGTTGGTCCTGCATGTCCAGATTTATAACAACAGTCAAACAGTCTAGGCAAGAGCAATTTCTTGCCCAAATGGCTAATCTTGCCATGTTGAAAGCAAACTTCATAACGAGTTTCTTCAATGCCCATCTTCCTATCAGAGGTAATTTATGTGCCAGGAGCAGACATTTCTCATTGTCAAGAAAAAACCCTAAACCATTTTAAATGCCATTTTCTGAAGGTCTTTGAAAGGTTTGAAGACTATCTATCTCAAATATATCTCTGTACATCTAGAAAACCTAACTTACCTAACCATAAGTTCTAATTATTATAGGTAACTATCTATTATCTGTATTTAATTATACATTGCATATTAAATGTGTTATACAAACACAATACCTAAACAAGAGGAGAAATATACATATCACATAATTGACCTTAAATTTGTATCAATAAATGAAAAACCATTCCAATACAAAGTATTCATTTCCATACCATAGACTCCTTTTACCTTTAAAAAGAGATCGGTTGTGATCATTAACCAATTATAAGCAACCCCATTTAAATGAAAATAAAAATTTATAAACAATTTGGGAATTTGGATGTTGCCCATTCCAAACTGTTTCCTGCTGATAGTGGGCGCTGTCCATACCATGGGGATCATGACAAAACTCAGAAACCTGGCCAAGTCCTTGTTTTTGTAGTCTGCAAGGCTGCATCATCTCAGCTGTTTTAGATGTTGGATCACTTGGGCCACTGCTTCTGGGGATCTTGTTTCATCAAACCACGGAAGCCTGGAAGAAATCCACAGCTTTCCATTTTTTGTGGAAACAGAAACAAAAACTCTTTTCCCAAGTAACACATCCTTATATTTAAAGTTAGAAGTCAAAACATTTTTGAAATGTATAAATTGGATTAATTCAGCAGCATTTATAATCAAGTATATTTCAGCAGTTGTTCCTTCTTTAGCCACTGAACAGCTGAAAAATGTAATAGCATACAGTATCCAGACTTTCTGTGTATTTTCCATATTTGCGTGGCTTATATTACTCTATTTCTTTTGCTTTTACTTATTTTTGTTCTGAGACAGGGTATCTCCTTGGAAATCTACCTGCCTCTGCAGCTGGAGTGCTGGGTTTAAAGGCGTGGGACACTACACCCAGATACTCTCTTTGTTCATATTTTCCTCCCCAGTGCTGGGATTAAAGGCTTGTGCCACCACACCCAGCTACTGTCTTTATTTTTATTTTTTCAATATCTTGTTTCTTTTACTCTTGCAAGTCTACCTACATTTTTCTTCATCTGAATCTGACTTTACTGTAAAACTTTATGTTTTTCTGGCTACGTGTCTTATATAGGCTAAAGAACATTGCTAAAATTAAAGTGGAAACAGTCGCTGGCTTTTCAACATGGCGGGTAGAAGTTTGATTCCAGCTCATCACCTCAGTCTATGCTGACATTCAGCAGCATGGTGTCGGCTTGGAGAAGTGGTCACTGCCACTTCCAGATGTTTGTACACACCATTCAATTGTTAGCAGAACCTCTTAAAAGAACCTTGCCATATATATATATTTTTTTGCTGCTTATGCTGAGTTAGGAAGACTCCCTTAAGTGAACTGCATGAGTCTCTGCTTGTCTCTGGCAAAATAAGAGCCCACCTGAGAAAAATGCTGCTGCCAAGAAGCCTTACTTCTCTCTGTTCTTTTGTTTTTAATATCCCTTTTAAAGTTTTGTCATTTTATGTGGAA